TCATAACATTTGGTTGAGGCAAACTCAAGTTAGAGAATGGAAACCAATTTTGGGACGTACGGACGGACGTATGTACGGACGGACGTACGTACGTACGTACGTACGTTCGTACTTACAGACGGACAAGGGTAAAACTTAATGCCCCCACCACTACGGCGGGGGCATAAAAATGATGCATATGATTTTTTTTATAACGAAATGGCTAGTTTCAGTTTGGGTGAGGTTTTGGAAATTGTGTCAGATGTTCGGACTCCTGTGTATTTTTCCTACGATACAGGGTAAAATATTTTGCCCCTTAAAACCATTTTTTTCTTTTCATAAAAGACTTCAATAGCTCATAAAAGGTCAGTTACCAGAATTAAAGCAGATTTTTTATTTATTTTCTTTCGATTTGAGACCCAAATAATAGCAATGCAAATAAGGTAAAAACACAGAGTCAGCCTTTTCTCGCATTTTTTTTAAACTCAAATATCTCGGAAAGGAGCTCCGTAAAATATCCACATTTTTAACTTATTTTGTTCCTCAAGTTATAATCTTTTGACTTCAGTTATTAATTTAAAATTCCTTATTTTTTTAATTTCAAGTAAGTGCATCCTTAAAATATTCAACAGTTCTTTGGACTTGCAAAGTTAAGTTCCATTTAAAAAATATGCACACAAATAATAAATATTAATTTAATTTTAATGTAGGACCATACATTTACAGCGAATTAAAATACTAAATTATTCTCAATTGATGTTGTCAATAATTTAGAATTTAGTTTTGTTTAAAATATGATGCGAACAATAGATTTAATGAGGTTCTACAAAAAAAAATAATTCGTCAATCTTACAAGGGTTTTTTTTTTTTTATTATTTCACACACAAAAACTCCGAAAGCTTTGTAATTACTGTTTAATGAAATGTAAAAATTTAACAAATAACCAACGCTACTTTAATTGTTTATTGTAAGGTGACTAGAGTCATAAAAAAGTGGAACATTTAAATTCAGTATTTGAACTTTTAAATTCAAGGTAAACAAAGTAATAAAACAGATAGCAATCATAATTTTATTAGTAGGGATTAGTTACGACTGATTAAGTAGGTAATTGGCTTCAGTAGAAATGTATTAGTTGAGACAGGTACTTAAAACACGACCGTTTGAAATACATGTAACAGTACAGGCAAAACCCTAGCCTTGAAAATAGCTCTTTTACAGCCCACAGCACCCTCTTGGACACAGAAAAGATTCAAGAGTACAAAAAAAAAGACTTAACATGTACCAAATTATTATTTCATTTATATAAAATTATGCTTTCTTAAAAGTGGGGAAACTGAAAAACCTTGCCCTTATATTCTCATTTCTACCTATTTTCCTATTTTTCATGTGACTTTGGACTTCTGAATTCATAAAATAACCCCATTGAATATAAAATAAGGAGATGTGGTATGATTACCAATGAGACATTTTTTCAAAGAAGTTTAGAACATTTTAATTTTTTATTCTAACTGATTCCCTCCAAGAACTTAAACCAGGTCTTTGTCTGGATAGGCATTTAGGTACATTTTGTAAATAATTATTTCATTCAAAAATATTTTGTACATACTGTTAAGAAAAATATGGATTGATTATTTGTTGGCATTGTTGGCGGCTTAACATCTAACAACAAACATTATTCTTTCATGAAGATATCACATTAAAATAATTTATTATTTACCAGAACATTTATTGTGAACTAAAAAAGTATAACAAAAATACTGAACTCCATGGCCAATTCAAAAAGCATGAAAAGGGGCAGTCCATAAAAACTGACAAAATCAAACCCTATCAATAAACAGAACAAGTGAAAAACAACAGCCATACACCTGACTTGGTACAGGCATTTTCCCGAAGAAAATGGTGGCTTAAACCTGGTTTTAGAGCTAGCTAAACATGCCACTTGTATGACAGTTGTAAATGTGTAGTCAATATCTTGCTTATGGATAACTTGTAAAATATTGATTGTTGCTTACTTAAGAACATATGATATGGAAAAGATGTCTTGTTAATTTTTCCTTGACATATTGACACATGTCTTATGCACTGTTGAAATGTGCAAAGAAAAATATACCAGCATGACTTACTTTTCGAGATATTCAATTTGAAATTTGTATCTTTCTTTTTTTAATACTTTTCTGAAAAAATAACACAACTTTCAAATGGAAAGAGATATATTCATACGTTTTTATTAAAAAGTAATCCTTAATTTATAGGCCTTGAAGGCCACGCGGTGACCTATAGTTGTTAATTTCTGTGTCATTTGGTCTCTTGTGGAGAGTTGTCTCATTGGCAATCATACCATATCTTCTTATTTTTATCTTTAAGGAAGTGCCTAAAATGAAGACTGAATGCAATATAATTTTTAAGTTATCCTGCAAATATTGGTAATAAAAAGCTGTAGACGAATTTCTTGCCAATACAAATGCATATAGAAAAAATTCTGTCGTTGATTTGTTCTTGCAATTTCAATATAGCATTTTTGAAGTAGTACATAGCCGATTGTAAAAGAATACCCAAATTTTATAGACCCATAGTTTCTATTTGGAAGGGAGATCATTTTTTATGACCAGTTTTTCCGGCACTGTCTTAAATTTTTTCATTTGTTAGATTTTCTGTTTCGATGTTGAATAAAACCTGTTAGATTGTGGTTTCATTTTGAGCAATAAAATATTGCAAAATATTGCTTAAATCATTATTCAGGAATTCATTATTACTGTTTCTGTGTTAGATAATGAAAAATAAATAGAAAGTCACATTTTATCGTGATTTTTGAAAAATATGGAATGTACATTGAAATTACTTTTAGTTTTCTTGTGTGATCGAAAACAGTGTTAATTACATGAAACTAATTTCAAACAGGTACAGTATGTGATGTACGATGTTTAATGAACAACACCTAATTCCTAGCCTATAAGACTGTAGAAAAGTTTGCCCCTCTGAAATGGGGAGTCGGCCCAATGAGGTGTCAGACTATTGGGGTGTTGGGACGAATGGGGTGTCAGAATATCGGCTGTTCCATTGATAATATCCTTATCCTTTGGTCTTTGGTTGATAATTGTCACAATGGCTATCATATGTCATCTCCTCATGATCTTTATAATAACTGTATAAATATTATACTAGTTACAATCCACTTACCATCTAAAAGTGACAACATATACTTTGTTCTGTTCATAATCTGATTGGTCACATTATCCATTGGTGTGTATGCCAGCTGTCTTGGAATTTTAGGGGTAAATGGTAAAACCTTAAATTCAGAACAATCACTCCAATTAACACCATGTAAAATTGCTTCCGTCTTTACTCTGAATCTTATCAGCAAGAGAATGAGTCCAAAAAATGTTGGTAAACCAATTTCAAATAATGTCAAAATGATCTTCCGTTTCTGTATTAAGAAGTTCTTCCACAGTAACAATGTAAACTGATTCCACTTCCCCATTTTGCTATTCTAGATATATGCTGAAATATAAAAATGGACAGAACATTCAAGTATTTTATAAGTATTGAACATGTTGAAATCAATTTAACTGCTTACAAACAGAATGCATATACCACTGAAAGTTCACCTCCAATTCAAAGATGATACACAGTATATTTAATATAGCTACAATGAACTTTTCACCACTGACTGCCAAGTGCTTACAGCCTTACAAGTGTTATGAATACACCACTGAAAGTTCACCTCATTTCAAAGATCACACATAAAATAGCTTCAATGAATTGAATTTTTTTTTGTTCCTGCAGAAGATGCCAAAATAGAATAAGTTTGGAAAAGAGTTAAGATGTTCTCCTCAGTCATTAAATAAGAGAGTTGTATAATATTTTAATGTTTTGTAAATATTAACCTCTGGTTAACTTGGCTTTATATAACTGTTTATTTGTGTACAGAGAAAATTAATAACACAAGGCTTATTTGACAAATGGCTAGTTTTATTATCTGCAGTTTAAGTTGAACTGTCAGATGTAATTAAGACAAGTAAGGATGTCTTGGGCATGTTGGGGTGTAGGGTAAAAACATTTAGTTATACCTATTTGTTTTGTCTAGATTGAAAGTAATTAAACTTTCTGATAAAGGTCAGTTGGTCAAGATATTGGCAGATTGTGTATCAGCTGTGATACTGTATAAGGATATGATTTTTCCTTAAAGTCTTGAATCAGTAAACATGGTAAAGGTTCTGGAGAACTTGTATTTAAAGTTTATACATGCATGTTTAAACTTTGTAAGCTAACTTTGTCAATAAGTCTGAAGTAATGTACATTTGTAAATAAACTTGTAAATAGATATCGTATTATTTGGTTAATGGAATTTATCACAGGATATATTGTCGTGCCATAGCATGGCTATGTCCATCCGTCTTTGTCTTTCCTCCCCTCCGTTACGTTTTGATTGACATGGACAATATAGATAACTGCATAAAAGCTGTGGGACCGTAGCACTTAGGTCCTTATGATATTGTAATAAAGCCCATAGGGATTAAACACCATACCATACAAAAAAGGTGATTTAAACAGTGGATCTTGTCACATGAAATTCAGGTGTATGTTTATTTTGGCACCTTCAAATTCTGATGGAGAAAAAAAAAGGAATCTAAAATTCAAGGTATGTTTTAAATTTCTGAAAAATAAATGCATTTAAAAGTTGTTTATCTAGTTCCTGCCATGCCTTAAAACTTTTCCACTTGAACAGGTATGTCGTCTCTCTTGAACAGCTACAATATACAAATGTAGGTATGATCCCGTATCATGTTTTTACTCTAATGAACCTTAAACATGTTAAAGTATAATATATACATGCACAAATATATATATAATGTGTAGATTTATTACATTATGATAGCAGGCACTGAGGTGATGCAAGTTAAGTTATGCCTTCATAAATAACAAACCTTATTTTAAAAACACAGTATCACATGCTTTAGAAAGTGAAAGCGGATGTAAACAAATCGTTGTCAGCTGAACGTTTTGATTAGAGGGAAATCAAGCGAAATCTTGAAAATTATAAATTACAACGATATTTTTTACATGTAAACAGTGGACAAAGTGAAGAGGATGATTTTAACAAAAAATTGTGAAAATGGCGATCGAATTCTTTGAAAATGGATTCAAATGTTGATGAGAAACAGCAGAGTAATTCCCCTATCCAGTCTGATTCACTAACAATACAGTAAAACATCATTTTACATTTATTTCCATTTATTTTCCACAGCTGTTGATTTTTTACCTTCTATGGCTTCATTATCATTTGTAAAGTTGATAATTACCGTAATAATTTGTCGTCAGCATTTTTATTTTATTTTATAATGTTGAACAAGAGCGCATGATTTTCTGCCCAAACTTTTCATTGTACCAATCAGGATCAAAGTTACAGCCAAGACATGTATGTAATTTATCTGGTTACAGTACATGTACTTAAAGCCACTGTTGAGTAATAAAGAGTAATAAATAAATGAATTAGCTTTATTGTTGTTATAGTATTTAAACATAAGCTCTATTAAGCCTTTAACCATCATCAGTCAGGGGACTTACTTAAATGAGTGATTTTCTAAATCACTGATTCAAGTAACATTATGTCCATAAAGGTTGGAAGTAAGAGTTGTCTTTCTTTAATAATCACCTATTTAAGTAGTACAAATTAATCACTAGACTAAGTGATTTAATTTTATTGTAGCTTTAAATTTAGAATACTAATGATCCAGGGACTAATTATGTTGCTAAAATTATCAGAACCAACATCTGTGTTGATAGGATGACCTTGTACTAAATCTTAAGGATAATGACATAAAAATCACTTGTTTACGTATCATACCTCAATTTCCTTCCAAAAAATAACTTCTTTAAGTATCATTATTTTAATAACCCCCACTAATTTCAACACCCCCGAACAGTGAAATTTTGATCGCGAACAGTAGAATTTTATTACATAATCTATAAGATGAAACCTTGAATTTTACAGGAAAAATACTCCCACTGCTGGGAAAAATTAGTTAAGAAAGTATCAGTTCATTATGTAAAGCCATTTTTATAGCATTTTTTCAACTAAAATAGAATTGGCAGCTAAATGATTGCATCAAAGGAATAAACCTTGCTGCTTAAAAGAAGCAAAAAGTTCATTTTTTTCAATTTTACTAATGAAAAGATATTATCTAAACCTATGTGTTTAAAATTTTGGTAAAACTACAAAATCATAATTTGTGACAAAACTTCGAATTTGCTACTTAAATAAGTGATTTAAAAATCACTTATTTCAATAAGTCCCCTGACTGATCATAACTAAGTGTTCTGCCTACACACAATTTGTGAATTCTAGTCACTTTGGCACCCGCTATAGTCAATTTGGCACCTTGTCAAATCGGGACTTGGTAAATTCTGCATCCGGGTAGTTATTTTAGCACCTATGGTTAAAATGATGCCAGTAAGTAAGTTTGTATTTCCTATCTATTTGTAAGATGATTTACCTTGACACCAAGATTTTTATTTTTACTTATATTAGCAATGTGCAGTATACTATCCATGTCAGTAAATTGTATATAAAGATAAGGAGATGATATGAGGTATGATTGCCAATGAAACAACTGTCCACCAAAGTTCAAATGAAGTGGATGTAAGCAATTATAGGCAACAGTACGGCCCTCAACAATGAGAAAAACTCATACCGTATAGTCGGCTATAAAAGGCCCTGACATAAAAAATATGAAACAATTCAAATGAGAAAACTAATGGCCAAATTTATAACAAAGCAATTTAAGAAAAACAAATATGACATACATGAACCATATAAGTATAGTATACTGAACATTGATAGTAAACAAACAAAAAAAATGGTGCCAGCGATATTCATTTTATCCAAGTAGACAGGAAATGCAGAAGAAAACTACTGGTATTCAAATTATAATGATTAGATTTGTTTTTATCCTCATATGTGGATAACACAACAGCTTGGATCATGGCTTCTTGGTTTTGTTTAGTTTTTTATACAACCGCAAAAAAATTTTGTGGTCGTATATTGGTATGACGTTGGCGTCGTCGTCGTCCGGCGTCGTCGTCCGAATACATATTGGTTTTCGCACTCTAACTTTAGTTTAAGTGAATGGATCTTTTTGAAATTTGACCATAAGGTTAAATACCACAAAAGGAAGGTTGGGATTGATTTTGGGGGTTATGGTACCAACAGTTAAGGAATAAGGGGCCAAAAGGGGGCCAAAAATGAGCATTTTCTAGTTTCCAGACAATAACTGTGGAACGGTGTATGGATCTCTCTGAAATTATACTACAAGTTTCCATACCACAAAGGGATGGTTAGGATTTGCTTTGGGGGTTATGGCTCAAACCGTTTAGGAATTAGGGGCAAAAAAGGGGGAAAAACAAGGTTGTCCTGGTTAATGGACAAATACTTTAGTACAAAACATAATTTAAAGCAGTGTAAGGGAGATAAATCAAATACATCATTGAAATTATCTCCCTTACACTGCTTTTAAATTATGTATAAAGTAATGGTTAATGAACAATAAAGATAATCTAAAACAGTGTAAGGGAGGTAATCCAAATACAACGATTTGGTTACTTCCCTTACACTGCTTTTAAATTATGTTTAAAGAAATGCATATTTATAAAGGAAGACCAGTAAAAATATCTGCAAATGTTTTCATCTTTTTTTTTTACAAAAAAATCCATATGAAAGATTTGACACTATATTTTTATTAATTCTATTATAAAATAGATTAAGTTAGCACTATGGTAAATTTAAATGGGTAATTATGGTTGCCAACTCCATTGGAAATTTGAATTGAGATTATGACCATATCTTGAGGGAAAGAATTTTTTTGGGGGAAAAAGGGGGGGGGGGGATAAAAAGAAATTGTGGGGGGCCAATTTTTTCTCATTTCAGATTTCAGAAATTAAAAAGAATTATTCTTCAAATATTATTTTTTTTTCAAATTTCAAATATTGAAAAATTTCAAGAAGTAATCTTTAATTGCACAGTATGGCGCATTAGATTTGTAAAATCTTTGATCACATTTATTTATTTGTTATGCCGAATCTAACAGTGTATTTAGATTTTTAATTTTGGGTCCAGTTTTCAAATTGGTCTACATTAATGTCCAAAGGGTCCAAAATTAAACTTTGTTTGATTTTAGCAAAAATTGAATATATGAGGTTCTTTGATATGCTGAATCTAAACATGTATTTAGATTTTTGATTTTTGGCCCAGTTTTCAAGTTGGTCCAAATTGGGGTCCAAAATTAAACTTTGTTTGATTTCAACAAAAATTGAATATATGGGGTTCTTTGATATGCTGAATCTAACCATGTATTTAGATTTTTTATTTGTGGACCCCGTTATCTAATTGGTTCATATTGAGGTCAAAAGGGTCCAAAATTAAACTTTGTTTGATTTCATCAAAAATTGAATTATTGGGGTTCTTTGATATTCCAAATCTAACCGTGTATTTAGGTTTTTAATTTTGGGTCCTGTTTTTTAAATTGGTCTACATTGAGGTCCAAAGGGTCCAAAATTAAACTTAGTTAGATTTTGACAAAAATTGAATTCTTGGGGTTCTTTGATTTGCTGAATCTAAACATGTGTTTAGATTTTTTATTATGGGCCCAGTTTTCAAGTTGGTCCAAGATAGGGTCCAGTATTTAAACTTTGTTTGATTTCAACAAAAATTGAATATATGGGGTTCTTTGATATGCTGAATCTAAACATGTATTTAGATTTTTGATTATGGGCCCAGTTTTCAAGTTGGTCCAAATTGGGGTCCAAAATTAAACTTTGTTTGATTTCAACAAAAATTGAATATATGTGGTTCTTTGATATGCTGAATCTAACCATGTATTTAGATTTTTTATTTGTAGGCCCTGCTATCAAATTGGTTCATATTGAGGTCAAAAGGGTCCAAAATTAAACTTTGTTTGATTTCATCGAAAATTGAATTATTGGGGTTCTTTGATATGCCAAATCTTACCGTGTTTTTAGATTTTTAATTTGGGTCCCGTTTTTTAAATTGGTCTTCATTGAGTTCCAAAGGGTCCAAAATTAAACTTAGTTTGATTTTAACAAAAATTGAATTCTTGGGGTTCTTTGATATGCTGAATCTAAACATGTGTTAAGATTTTTGATTATGGGCCCAGTTTTTAAGTTGGTCCAAGTTGGGGTCCAAAATTAAACTTTTTTTGATTTCAACAAAAATTGAATATATGGGGTTCTTTGATATGCTGAATCTAACCATGAATTTAGATTTTTTATTTGTGGGCCCCGCTATCAAATTGGTTCATATTGAGGTCAAAAGGGTCCAAAATTAAACTTTGTTTGATTTCATCAAAAATTGAATTATTGGGGTTCTTTGATATTCCAAATCTAACCGTGTATTTAGATTTTTAATTTTAAGTCCCGTTTTTTAAATTGGTCTACATTAAGGTCCAAAGGGTCCAAAATTAAACTTAGTTTGATTTTAGCAAAAATTGAATTCTTGTGGTTCTTTGATATGCTGAATCTAAACATGTGTTTAGATTTTTGATTATGGGCCCAGTTTTCAAGTTTGTCCAAGTTGGGGTCCAAAATTAAACTTTGTTTGATTTTAACAAAAATTGAAAATATGGGGTTCTTTGATATGCTGAATCTAAACATGTGTTTAGATTTTTGATTATGGGCCCAGTTTTTAAGTTGGTCCAAGTTGGGGTCCAAAATTAAACTTTTTTTGATTTCAACAAAAATTGAATATATGGGGTTCTTTGATATGCTGAATCTAACCATGAATTTAGATTTTTTATTTGTGGGCCCCGCTATCAAATTGGTTCATATTGAGGTCAAAAGGGTCCAAAATTAAACTTTGTTTGATTTCATCAAAAATTGAATTATTGGGGTTCTTTGATATTCCAAATCTAACCGTGTATTTAGATTTTTAATTTTAAGTCCCGTTTTTTAAATTGGTCTACATTAAGGTCCAAAGGGTCCAAAATTAAACTTAGTTTGATTTTAGCAAAAATTGAATTCTTGTGGTTCTTTGATATGCTGAATCTAAACATGTGTTTAGATTTTTGATTATGGGCCCAGTTTTCAAGTTTGTCCAAGTTGGGGTCCAAAATTAAACTTTGTTTGATTTTAACAAAAATTGAATATATGGGGTTCTTTGATATGCTGAATCTAACCATGTATTTTGATTTTGGACATTGGACCATAATAGGTAAATTAAAAAAATTGAAGTTCTTAGACCACATTCTTTCTGTGTCAGAAACCTATGCTGTGTCAAATATTTAATAACAATCCAAATTCAGAGCTGTATCAAGCTTGAATGTTGTGTCCATACTTGCCCCAACTGTTCAGGGTTCGACCTCTGCGGTCGTATCAAGCTGCGCCCCAGCGAAGCATTTTATTGTAATAATGAAACATCAAAAACTACTTGAAAATGGTTGAAACATAACAAATAGGTTAATTTTTTTTAAATTGGATTAAGTTCCTATGTTTTTGAATTGAAAACCAATCAAAACATTTTTAATAATATTGAGAAAACTTAACACAACAAAGCAATTTATTATTTTTATTGTGTTTTCACACTGGCTTAATTATATGTGCTTATGTTTTCAGCTAGTACAAAATGTTCCAACCTCTGAAATTTTACATTTTGAAAAAATGAAAAAAAAATATGTTCCCAACACTAAGCTTAAGGATTTGTATAGTACTGTACAAAGCCTTGTCCTTACTTCAAAAAATGATAGTTAAAGGTGAAAATACAATTAGTTGCCAAAATGACTTTAAATTGGTGATGATTTGACTAGATGCCATATTTACCAGGTGCCAATTTGACTTTTTCTAAACATGCTATAGGTGATGAATTGACCAGGTGCAGATTTGACTTGTACCCCATTTTGTACAATGTACATTTGTAGCTTCGAGAGTATTCCACACTTTACACCAATCTTGAGTTGTTTTTATATGACCGCAAAAAAATTTTAGTATCATGTTGTTGGCTTCCGAAGACATTTGGTTTCCGCACAATAACTTTAGTTTAAGTGAATAAATTTTTTTGAAAAAGAAGAGGGGAAGAGGGGGGGAGCAATTCGCAACAGCATAGTGTATTGCACAAAAGCAAAAAAAATGGGGGATAAATTTTTTTTGGGGGGTTGGGGTGGGGGGGGGGGGGGGTTAATTCATAACAGCATAGTGTATTGCACAAAAGCAAAAAAATTTAAATTCAAATCATATTACCAATTCTAAGTTCTTTGACAGTTATTCTGTGTCAGAAACCTGTCCAAATACAGACCTGTATCAAGCGCGAATATTGTGTCCATTTTTGCCCAAACTGTTCAGGGTTGGACCTCTGCGGTTGTATCCAGCTGCGCTCGGCGAAGCAATTTATTTATGAATGAGTTACAATCGGTGTAAACCACTCATTGAACAATCGGTTCTTACTGTGACGGAATAACACAAGCATTGTAATATAGGAAATGTAGGAGAAAGTGCACAAATTTGAAAGTCCTCTAAAGACAGTTAGGGGTAATATGTACATGAAAACAAGTGTTTTTTACAGGTGAATTATTTCGAAAGTAGAGTAATATCCTGTAGTAGACATTCAGATGCTTTTACTTATAGAAGTAAAAAAGTCTTTCTATTGTTCTTTTCTTAAATTTCTTTTGACTTTATTGCTGTAAATGAGCGTCTTATTGTTTGTCATTATTATTCTTAAATATTTAATTTTATTGACAATGAAAATCTCATTAGTCTGTTAGCTTCAAAACACTACTCATTTACAAGCCTTCAGAGGGCAATTTTTATTGTGCTGTGGGCAATTTTTGTATTCTTGAGTTCCGTTTTTGCTTATGTGCTTTGTCTATATGCCATTTTCATGATTTTGTTTTTCTATGTTGACATATTTGTTTGTTTTTATAGTGATTAAGATTATAACACAATGTTGACTATTGTACCCCTATTTTTGACATTTTTATACGACAGCCAAAAATTAATGCTATGATGTCTTTGTCATCGTCAGCGTTGTTGTCTTCGTCCTCGTCCGAAGATACATTTGGTTTCTGGACAATAACTTAAGTTTAAGTGAATGGATCTCTATGAAATTTTACCAGAAGGTTCAATACCACAAAAGGAAGGTTGGGATTGATTTTGGGGGTTATGGTACCGACAGTTTAGGAATTAGGGCCAACAACAAGCATTTTTGTAGTTTCCAGACAATAACTTACAAGTGTGTAAGTGTATGGATCTCTCTGAAATTGTACCACAAGGTTCCATATCACAAAGGGAAGGCTGGGATTGAGTTTGGGGGTAATTGCCTTAAATGTTCAGGAATTAGGGGCAAAAAAGGGGCCAAAAACAAGCATTTTTCTGGTTTCCAAATTCCAGACAATAACTTGTGTTTAAGTGTATGGATCCTTCTAAAATTGTACTACAAGGTTCCATACATTGAGGTCAAAAGAGTCCAAAATGAAAGTTTGTTTGATTTCATTCAAAAACTGAATTATTGCAGCTGTATGATATGCTGAATTTTATTCTGTGTTTAGATTTTTTATTTTGGGACCTGTTTTCAAATTAGTCCATATTAAGGTTTGAAGGGTCCAAATTGAAACTTTGTTTGATTTCAACTAAAATTAAATTGTTGGTGTTTTTATACGTCCGTTTACGGGACGTATTATGGTATACCGTTGACCGCCTGTATGTCCGTCCCTCTGTCCATCTGTCCGTCCGTCGTCAACATGTCGGACATTAGCTCCAAAAAGCTTTAACCAATATGCATGAAACTTTGGTGAATTGTTTATATCTATTGACTTGAGCTCCCTTTCGTTTTTTACAAATTTCAGATTTACCGTTTCTGAGTTTTGGGGGTTTTATTCATTAAAAAAGGTTTTTTTATATTATCAAATATACAGGGCCGTTAGTTTTCTCAATTGAATTGTTTCATGGTTTTTTTTTCCAGTTTTCCGACAATAACTCAAGAATGCTTTCACCAACTTGCAAGAAATTTTGGTGAATTGTTTATATCTATTGACATGAGCTCTCTTTCGATTTTTATAAATTTTAGATTTTACGTTTCCGATTTACAGGGTTTTATTAAAAAAAAAAGGTGATTTTCCAGTTTTCAGTTTTCGGACAATAACTAAAAAATGCTTTCAGCAGTTCTCATGAAACTTTGGTGAATTGTTTATATCTGTTGATGTAAGCTCCCTTTAGAATTTTATAAAATTTAGATTTTACATTTCTGAGTTATTGGGTTTTATTCATTAAAAAAGGGGGATTTTCCAGTTTTTGGACAATAACTCAAAAATGCTTTCAGCAGTTCTCATGAAACTTTGGTGAATTATTTATAGCTATTGATGTAACCCCCTATTGATTTTCATAAATTTCTAATATGACATTGAGAAGAAATTGAACTTTGTTTGTTTATAGTCTGATAACAGATTTACTAAGTATTGCACAACAGCACAGTGTATTGCACAACAGCAAGAAATCTTTAATTGAATATAAATTCAATTCATATAACCAATTTCAAGTTCTTTGACTACATTTATTCAGAAACCTATAATATGTCAAATATTTAATTACAATCCAAATTCAGACCTGTATCAAGCTTGAATATTGTGTCCATTTTTGTCCCAATTGTTCAGGGTTGGACCTCTGCTGGCGTATCCAGCTGCACTCAGCGAAGCAGTTTATTTTATATGCTGAATCTAACCATGTTGTTAGATTTTGGATATCAGACCATTCTAGGTAAATTAAATGTCCCATTTCAAATTTTTAAGATTATTGAAATCTTCAAAAAGAATATACAATGTATACCAGCCATACATTTGTACCTGTATGATTGGAACATAAATAGAACATTGACTTGTGCATTACTAGTATTACAGACTAGTACACCTAAACACAGCAGTGCAGTGAAAATTTTATCTTCTTTACTCACAAAATCTTAACAGGCGGTTGACATTTCTTCAACAAATATTTTTTCAGATACTCCACAAGTGACCTTGATAGTCCCATATCTTCAGACGAAGACAGCATTAATCTTGAAATGATCAATGTAAAGTCTAAAGGAGAAGCATTCTGTGATTGTCACAAGAAAGGCAAAGAAAAAGAATGTACATGTGGAGAAGAAGATACGTGTAAGAGTCTATATATAAATAATTATTTTTTTACTACTTATTTGTGGTGTAAATTTATGAAAAGGCCTACATGTAGCTTTGCCTAGCAATTTTTATACGACCGCAAAAAAAATTTTGGGATCGTATAATGGTATGATGTCGTCGTCTGCGTCGTCGTCCGAAGGCACATTTGGTTTCCGGACAATAACTTTAGTTTAAGTAAATGGATCTCTATGAAATTTTTTAAGAAGGTTCAATACCACAAAAGGAAGGTTGGGATTGATTTTGGTCCCAACCGTTTAGCAATTAGGGGCCCAAAAGGGGCCCAAAACAAGCATTTTACTAGTTTCAGGATAATAACTTGTGTATAAGTATTTTGATTGCTCTGAAATTGTACCACAATGTTTAATACCACAAGTAGAAGGTTGGGATTGATTTTGGGGATTATGGTGCCAACAGTTTAGGAATTAAGGGCCAAAAAGGGGCCAAAAACAAGCATTTTTGTAGTTTCCGGACAATAACTTGTGTGTGAGTGTATTGATCTCTCTGACATTGTACCACAAGGTTCCATATTACAAAGGGAAGTCTGGGATTGAGTTTGGGGGTAATTGCCCCAAACATGGAGGAATAAGGGGCCAAAACAAGCATTTTTCTAGTTTCCAGACAACAACTTGTATTTAAGTGAATGGATCTCTCTGAAATTGTACTACAAGGTTCCATACTACAAAGGAAAGGCTGGGATGGAGCTTGGGTGTAATTGCTCTAAGGAGGGATTCAAAAAGTTTGGGGGGGGATTTTTTTCCAATTTTTTTAAGGGGTTCATATTTTTTTTCAAAATTTTTCAAATTTCAAATTTTTGAAAAGTTTCAAGAAGAAAGAAGAAACCTTCAAATGAACAGTATTGTGCAATAAATTTGTAAGATCTATGACCACATTTATTTTGTGTCAGAAACCTATATTATGTCAAAAATGTGATCACAATCCAAATTCAGACAGTATCAAGCTTGAATATTGTGTCCAAATTTGCCCCAACTGTTCAGGGGTCGACCTCTGTGGTCCTATCAGGCTGTGCTCAGCGAAGCATTTTATTAACTTATTGTAAAAGAAAGCATGATTAAAAGAGACTGTGGCAACCCTTATTATTGAAATTGTCTTTACAGCTTTCATTGAATTTATTGAGCATAAAGAAAATTTTCAAATTTCAGTATAGACTCATTGCTCATATTGATAAATGGAATATAACTATGGTATTGTTATATTTCCATTCTCAATTTTATAGGGACAAAAAAAATAGTGTTGCAACAGGCTGCCTACGGTTCTCTCAAAGAGTTGTTTCAAAGGTTCTTAACATGCAGATAGCGTGCATGGTCACTCTCTAGATACATTAGGCACCAGATTTAGTAGCCCCATTCTGACTGGATGGGGCTACTTATTTGAAAATCACTATCAACCAAAAAGATGTCCCACTTTGGCAAGAGTTTTACTGTCAGTCGGAAGAAGACAAAAGTGACCATATTTGTATTTTCCAGCCACCCTTATACTGCATGATTAATGGAAGTATTGAATAAATTTCAATGCAAACAACAGCAATCCAACAACACAAGTTACATGAAGTAGACATGTAGAAGTCATTGTACACTCTTTAAAGATGGACAAGCACCCTAAGCAGGTCCATTCACTAAAAACCAGTAATTACTATTTATCTACCGGAGTACCGGTCATTGTCATTTATTATTTTCTGTCCCAAAGTCTTTATGCTCAGTAAAAACAACTGTTCATTACAAACATTTTACCTGGACTAGTTTTAACTATTGAAAACTGTAACACGCAGAGTATATAGTTATATACTGATTCTTTACTTATTGACCTGCAAAACTTAGTCTTAGACAGATCATAAAAGCCGATCTTGGGCTCACAGAGTGTAAATCACTTTCAGTTTAGATTAAATTTGAAAAAGTATGTGGGTGATTGATTGATTGATTGTGGGTGTTGACTTCCCCTTTAAGCATTCATAGCTGTTTCATTGCGGCTAGTTTTTATACGACCACAAAACATTGGATTTGTATAATGTTATAACATTGTCAGCGTCGTCATCCAAACACATTTGGTTTCCAGACAATAACTTGAGTTTAAGTGTATGGATCTCTACGAAATTGTACTACAAGGTTCCATACCACAAAAGGAAGGTTTGGATTGGATTTTGGGGTTATTGTCGTAACTGTAAAGGAAATACGGGTAAAAAAAGGGGCCAAAAACAAGCATTTTTCTTGTTTCAGGACAATAACTTGTGAATAAGTTTATGGATCTCTATGAAATTGTACCACAAGGTTCCATACCTCAAAAGCAAGGTTGGGATTGATTTTGGGGGTTATGGCCAAGACTGTTAAAGAATAAGGAGTGAAAAAACTAGGATTTTCATGTTTCAGGACAATTACTTGTGTATTAGTTTATGGATCTCTATAAAATTGTAGCACAAGGTCCCATACCACAAGAGGAAGGTTGGGATTGATTATGGAGGTTATGGCCCTAACCATTGTGGAAAAAAGAGCCAAAAATAATACTTTCTATTACCTTGTACAAATTGCTTATTTCTTGACCAATTTCAATGGGGTTTAATTCAAAGTCTTGAATTCTTGAGGTTTTTTAATATGCTGAATCTTACCTTGTATTTAAACTTTGGATTTTGGGGCCCCGTTTTAAAATTGGTCCAAAGGGTCCAAAATTAAACTCTTGGGGTTCTTTGATATGCCGAATATAATCATGTAATTTAGATTTTTTATTTTATGCCTGGTTTTCAAATTAAGGTCCAAAAGGTCCGAAATTAAACTTAGTTTGATTTTAACAAAATTTAAATTCAAGGGGTTATTGGTATCACATCATTGTTGTCTGCGTCGTCTGAAGACATTTGGTTTCCGGACAATAACTTTAGTATATGTGAATAGAAATCTATGAAATTTAAACACAAGGTTTATAACCACAAAAGGAAGGTTTGGGATTGATTTTGGGGGTTATGGTCCTAACAGTTTAGGAATTAGGGGCCAAAAAGGGCCCCAAATAAGCATTTTTCTAGTGTCCAGGCAATAACTTGTGGAAAGGTGTATGGATTTCTCTGAAATTAGACCACAAGTTTCCATACCACAAAGGGATAGTTAAGATTGGCTTTGGGGGTTATGGCTCAAACCGTTTAGGAATAAGGGGTAAAAAGGGGAAAAAAACAAGGGTTTCCTGGTTAATGGACAATTACTTAAAAGTACAATGTTATGTTTGGAGTACTTCCCTTACACTGCTTTTAAATTATGTATAAAGAAATGTTGTATTGTCTTGAGGTGATTAGCTGTCAATTTATTTTTAGAAGTTACTATTAAAAATGCTGATTAAGTAATATTAATTTTAGCAATAATTATGTATGTCATTTTCTATGTTAAGACTTTTTTGATGTATTTAAAAGGGTAATTATGGTTGCAAACTCCATTGGAAATTTGAAATGAGATTATGACCATATCTTGAGGGAAAGATTTTTTTTGGAAAAATGGGAGGGGGGGAAGTGAAAAGAAATTGTGGGGGGGGATAATTTTTTCTCATTACAGATTTCAGAAATTAAAAAGAAAATTTCTTCAAAAATTTTTTTTTTTGCAAAAAAAGGGGGGTAAAAAAAAAAATTTCTGGGTGGGGGAGGGTCAATTCGCAACAGCATAGTGTATTGCACACAAAAAAAAAAAAAAGGGGGAGGTAAATTTTTTTTTTTTCTTTTTTTTTGGAGGGGGGTCAATTAGCAACAGCATAGTGTATTGCACAAAAGCAAAAAAATTGAATGTGAATTCAAATCATATAACCAATTCTAAGTTCTTTGACTACAGTTATTCTGTGTCTGAATCCTATCATGTGTCAAATATTTAATTACAATCCAAATTCAGACCTGTATCAAGCTTGAATATTGTGTCTATTTTTGCCCCAACTGTTCAGGGTTGGACCTCTGTGGTCATATCCAACTGCGCTCGGCGAAGCAATTTATTGATATTCTAAATCTAATATAATTGAGAATGAAACTAGGGAATGTGTCAAAGAGACAACAACCTGACCAAAGAGCAGAAAATAGCCCAAGGCCACCAATGGGTCTTCAACACAGCGAGAAAATCCCGCACCCGGAGGTGGGCTTCAGCTGGCCCCTAACCAAAATGTTTACATGTATTTAGATTTATGTTGCGAAAGCAAGACATAGCAATTCTAGATTCCGATGGTGGTGGCGACAGTGTCAACATTTAGGTTCAGTCTGTGGTTAAAGTTTTTTTAGACACCAATAACTTTGTCAAACTTAACCTTCATGGAATTTTAGGAAATTTTGACAGAAGCTAATTTATGACCTAAATGGAGAATCCAGAAATTTTTTATAATATATATATTTTCAATTTTCCGTATTTTACTGATAAATGGATTTTTTATTTTTTACATTTAGAATTCAGATTTAGTCTGAGGTTAAAGTTTTTCAGTCATCAATAACTTTGTCAAACCTTTATGGAATTTTAGGAAATTTGGACAGAAGCTTGTTTATGACCAAAAGACAGTACCCAGGGCAAAATTTTGATAATAATTATTTTCAATTTTTCTGTATTTTACTGATAAATGGACTTAGTTTTTTTTTTTTTTACAGTTAACAAGTGGATACAGTCTAAGGTTAAAGTTTTTCAGTCATCATTAACTTTGTCAAACCTTCATGGAATTTTAGGAAATTTGGACAGAAGATTAGTTATGATCCAAATGTAGTATTCAGAGCAAAACTTTGAAAATATTTATTTTCATTTTTCATTTTTAACTGATAAATGGACTTAGTTTTTTTATGTTTACCAAATAAATACAGTCTGGGGAAGCAAGACATAAGGATTACTTTTCCGGCTGTGGCGACGGCATCAACAATAGGTCATGGTCCAGCCACTTTAAATTAATAAGCAATATTTAATGTTAAGTTTTCTGCTTAAGTCAGTTTGATAAAAACTACTTGTGATAGATTATTGATATTTGATATAAAGATGCATTACTGTCAGAAGATAGCAGTTTGATGATTATTTTGAGGCCCTGCTCCCTAGGTCATGGTCCAGTGACTTTGAATTAATTAGCAATTTTAAATGTTAAGTTTTCCTCTTAAGTTAATTTGATAGGAACTACTTGTGATAGATCAATTATATAACGTATGAAGTCGCATTACTACCAGTACATATCAATTTCACGACCATTTTGAGGCCCTGCCCCCTAGGACATGGTCCAGTGACTTTAAATTAATTAGCAATTTTAAATGTTAAGTTTTCTGTTGAAGTTAGATTGATAGGAACTAGATACAATAGACAACTATATTTTCAAAACATTACTGTCTGTACATCTCAGTTTGTCGACCATTTTCAGGCCCTGCTTAGACCATTTAGCAGATGTGTACCCAGAAGGTTAATGAAAAAATTACTGTCTGTGGAATGATCAGTCATTACATTGGTTCATAGTGATTGTATGCGAGAAACAACTTAAAAACTCATATTGCATTCATAGTTCCAGTCAGTATTATATATTAACTTATCTATCATATATTTTGATAAAAGGTTTTGAATGGACATGGGATGAAGAGAGTAAGTCCCATGCCAGCTTTATAAAAGAAGGAGACAGAGAGGTTATGTTTCATATAGATTACAGTGGTGGCACGGCAGCTGTTAGGGGGAATACAAAGTTACATAAAGATCAGTATTATTGGGAGATCAAAATGACAACACCTGTATATGGTACAGATATGGTAGGTTCAGTGGGTAATAGATACATTTGTAGTCCTGAAAAAAATCTATAAAAAAAAAAATTTAAGAAACAAAATAAAAGATGAATTGCCTCTCATGAACATAAGGAGATGTGCACGTTGTATTGTTGTCAATGAGACAACTATACACCAAAGACCAAAAGGCAAGGATGTGTAATCTTGACCTTGTGAACATTAATATTGTGGATAAAGGACAGCCTTATAATGGTCTCATGTCAAAAATATCAATTAAAATCAACAAATTAGACATAGTCATTTAATAAAGGCCCCGCCATGAAACATATGAAACAATTCAATTGAGAAAACTAACAGCCTTGTATATTTGATAAATCTACCATTCAAAACTTTATATACATTTGTACCTCCATATTTTGATACCATTGAACAACCTATTATTTCGTATACTTATAAAAAAACAAGTAGAAGTTTAATTTTAAATTATATGTCAGTTCTTTTTCATTCTTTCTGTTGATTGATATAGTATAAGGTTTGTTTTTGTCAGGTTTTATGTACTTCCCTTTTTGTCGAGCCATGATATTTATGTCACTATATTCAGACATGGAGACAAAGCAATCCTAGATGTCGGCCTCATCAGTTAAGTCTGTGGGTAAAGTTTTTTTAGACATTAATAACTTTGTCAAACCTTCATAGAATTTTATGAAATTTAGACAGAAGCTTGTTTATAATCAAAAGACAATATCCACACCAACGTTTTAAAAATATATTTTTTTTACGTATTTGACTGATAAATGGACTTTTTTTTACAATTAACATGTAGATACAGTCTTGGGTTAAAGTTTTTTTACACATCTCTGGTAAAGAGTTGTCTCATTGGCAATCATACCACATCTTATTTTTATATACCGGTTAACAAGTAGCTTATCTTCACGAGCAAGGAATAAAATTTTAAAAAGAATGTTGTTTATTTTTTTAGGATTGTATGTTAAGATGTTGTCATCTTTTTTGTCTGAAGACATTTGGTTTCCAGACAATTATTTCACATCCAATCATTTATGGTAATATTCTATACAAAGCACAAAAATGTCGTCATTCACCTCAAAAGCTAACCAAACCTTTAAACAGACTTCATCAGAACGGATATAGTTACGATACTGTTGTCAGGTCATTAAAGATGGCATATTTTGGTATTAATATTGATTCGCTCATAGGGTCTTTGCATCGGAAATAAACACATTTATTCTAAAACCAGTTGTTGGCATGATACGGGTAATGTTCTTCTCATATATTTTATGATAGTATGATACTAAACCCCTAACTGGAGGGATAGTGCTTGATTTTGTGTTGAAGACCCATTTGTGGCCTTGGGCTGTTTTCTGCTCTTTGGTCAGGTTGTTGTCTCTTTGACACATTCTCTGTTTCCATTCTCAATTTTATTTTTAATAAATGTATGGTCAAAAACAATACTTTTCTAATACTTTGTTTAAATTGCTTATTTCTTGACCAATTTCCATGTGGTTTAATTCAAAGTCTTGAATTCTTTGGGTTCTTTGATATGCTGAATCTAACTGTGTATTTAGATTTTGGTGTTTGGGCGATTTTTTCAATTGGTCCACATTGAGGTCCAAAGGGTCCAAAATAAAACTTTGTTTGATTTCAACAACAATTCAATTCTTGGGGTTCTTTGATATGCTGAATCTAACCGTGTATTTAGATTTTTGATTGTGGGCCTTGTTTTCAAATCATTTAGGTCCAAAGGGTTCAATATTAAACTTAGTTTGATGGTTAAAACAAAAATTGAATTCTTCAGGTTCTTTGATATATGCTGAATCTAAATATGTATTTAGATTTTTGATTTTGGGCCCAGTTTGCAAGTTGGTCCAAATCGGGGTCCAAAATTAAACTTCGTTTGATTTCAACAAAAAATTACTTATTGGGTTCTTTGATATGTTGAATTTAACAGTGTATTTAGATTTTGGATTTTGGGACCCATTATCAAATTGGTCCACATTGAGGTCCAAAGGGTCCAAAATTAAACTTTGTTTAATTTCATCAAAAATTGAATTCTAAGGGTTCTTTGATATGCTGATATTACTGTTCATTATCAGATATTTTGAAAAATTATTAAAGGTAAGTTTTATAGATTTTTTAAAGACATTGTATTAGAATGATGAATGATACTTTTGAAATTGTTTTTTTCATTTTTATTTTGTAATCCTTTTTAAAGAACTAAGTGGTTGGTTTGTTTGTGATTCTGTATAGATTAATTTTCGGAATGCTATGTATATTTTTTTTTTTTTTGATGAAGGGAACCCTTTTAAAAGCTTAGCTAATATTGTCCATTAATAAATGAATAAAATGAATTCTTGGTGTACATGAATACGCTGAATCTAACCGTGTATTTAGGTTTTGTATATTTGACCATAATAGGTAAATTTAAGTCAAATTTCAAATTTTTCAGTTCTTTGTCCACATTCATTCTGTGTAAACAATTTGATCACAATCCAAATTCAGAGCTGTATCAAGCTTGAATGTAGTGTCCAGGGTTCCACTTCTGAGGTAGTATCAAGCTGCGCCCGGGGAGTTTTTTATTTTGTTCTAACCTGCAACGAAAGTCACGGAAAGCGAGACATAGGGATTGCTTTGATGGTGATGATGACGGCGTCAACAATTGTTAAGTTTTCTGCTTAAGTTAGTTTGATAGGAACTACTTATGATAGATCATTGATATCTAATATAAAGTTGCATTACAATCAGAAGATATCAGTTTGACAACTATTTTGAGGCCCTGTCCCCTAGGTCATGGTCCAGTGACTTTAAATTAATCAATTTTTGATGTTAAGTTTTTGTCTCGCCTTGACGGAGTCAAAAAGCGAGACATAGGTATGCTGATTCTGGCGGCGGCGTCAACAATGTATTAGTTGTGATTAGGTCTAGTTGTGGTGAACCACAAGTGGTAGATCAGTGATATTTGGTATGCAGTTGTATTAGCATAGGCACATCTCATTTCCATGGAGATTATTTGGCCCAGCCCCTCAGTCATGGTCTATTGACTTTGAAACTTTTGCTTAGTTTACATGTATTAGTTTGTGATTAGGTCAGTTTATGGGGAACCAATATTGGTAGGTCAATGATATATGGTATGCAGTTATATAAGCATTGGCATATCTCATTTCCATGGAGATTATTTGGCTCCGCCCCCTTCGTCATGGTCTATTGACTTTGAAAATTTTGCTTAGTTTACATGTACAAGTTTGTGATTAGGTCAGTTCAAGGGGAACCATTAGTGGTAGGCCAATGTTTATTGGTATTCAGTTGTATAAGCATTAGCACATCTCATTTCCATGGAGAATATTTGGCCTCACCCCCTCAGTCACGGTCTATTGACTTTGAAACTTTTGCTTAGTTTACATGTATTAGTTTGTGATTAGATCAGTTTAAGATGAACTGCTAATGTTAAGTCTATGATATTTGGTATGCAATTTTTTTGGCATTTGCAAGTTTCTTTCCCATGGAGATTATATAACCCCACCCCCTCATCATGGTTCATTGACTTTGAAACTTTTACATAGTTTACAAGTTAATGTTTGTCTTTAGGTTTGTTTAAAGGGAACGACTTATAATAAGTCAATGGTATTTGGTATGTAGTTGTATTAGCATTGGCACATCTCAATTTCATGGAGATTGTTTAGCCATGTACCTTCAGTCATGGTTCATTGACTTTGAATATTTGCATAAATTATGTGTTAAAGTATTGCTATTTTAATTTCAACAGTTGCATTATCAAAATTACAAAATGACGAGACATATCTCTGTGATAACAGTTTATCTGTTTAAAGTAGTATGATACTGATAGGATCCACTTGTGATAGATCAATGATATTTTGTACATGTATGAAGTTGCATTACTATCAGTACATATCTGTTTGACGACCATTTTTAGGCCCTGCCCCCTAGATCATGGTCCAGTGACTTAGTAATTTTCAATGTTAAGTTTTCTGCTTAATCAGCTTGATAAGAACTACTTTTGACAGATCAATGATATTTTGTATAAAGTTGCATTACTATCAGTACATCTCAGTTTGTCGACCATTTCTAGGGCCTGCCCACAAGATCATGGTCCAGAGTCTTTCAATTAATAAGCAATGTTGCTGTCTATCAGATTGTCTTTTTCTGAATTTTATGTGGACAGGTGAGACATATCTCTGTGTCAACATTTTATTATTGTTAAGTTTTCTGCTTAAGTCAGTTTGATAAGAACTTCTTGTGGTAGATTATTGATATTTGATTTAAAGTTGCATTACTGTCAGAAGATATCAGTTTGAGGACTATTTTGAGACCCTGCCCCCTGGGTCATGGTCTATTGACTGAATTGATTAGCAATTTTCAATGTTAAGTATTCTGCTTAAGTCAGTTAGAAAAGAACTGCTTGTGATAGATCAATGATATTTTGTTTAAGTTTGCATTACTATCAGAAGATATCAGTTTGACGACTATTTTTAGGCCCTGCCCCCTAGGACATGGTCCAGTCACTTTGAATTAATTAGCAATTTTCAATGTTAAGTTGTCTGCTTAAGTTAGATTGATAGGAACTACTTACAATAGACAACGATATTTTCTATAAAGTTACATTACTGTTAGTACATCTCAGTTTGTCGACCATTTTCGCATACCTGCCAACTTTTCAAAATCTCCATTGCGAATTTTAAGCGAGAGAGGAGCATTAATATTGTCATAAAAGTGTTTAATCTACTAATATGACTACTACATTGTTTGAATGAGTATGTAGGTGCTTAAATACCCTTTTTACTCATTCTAATGCCTGTTTAACGGTATTCAGTTTATACAATTAAGAATTCCAAATTCAGGTCAACACCTCTCATGGGGGAAATCCCCCATAAATTGTGAAAGTTGGCAGGTCTGTTATTGGGCCCTGCCCACCAGATCATAGTCCAGCGACTTTGAATTAATAAGCAATCCATCAGATTGTCTTTTTCTGAATTTTATGCTGACAGGCGAGACATATCTCTGTGTCAACAGTTTATGTTAGTTATTGTTATTGACTTTGTTAGCTTTCAGTATTTGTGAGTACTCTCAGATTGGTACTTTATGATTTTAGTGTTTTTGTTGGTTGTATTGATCTGCTGAGTCAAGCAGTTTCAACTGAATTTTAATCCAGCAATGCTTGGTCTTTATGATCACAACAGATCTTAAGATAGTGCAGAATTCTGAATTGATGACATATCATGAAACTATTGATATGTTTTTAAGTAATCATCTACTGTGAACTTTTTACTTTGCAGTTACCGGTATATTACCCTTGTAATAAGAAAATATAGGTGGAACAACTACTGAATATTAGCTCGTTGCATATAGTTCCTTTGTAAATCAAAATTTTTAGAATTTTACTATTTATAAAATTAGGGCAGGGGTTTAATTTGTTGGTTTATGCCAATACAGAATTTTTTTGAGAAAAATTCTGGTCGGTCGTAAAAATAAATTTAAAAAAATTTAGAGAAGTCTAGATAAGATAAGATAAGATAAGATAATCTTTGTTTCATACTCAAAAGATCCATATATAAACATGACAACAAAATATTCTGTTTAAACAGGATTTGTGATTTTGTCAAAAAGTTAAGAAGATAGAAACTGTAATAAATTAAATTCTAATCTACAATGCTAGAGAGTGTCCATTGTTTAAGATGAACCTAGACCTAGGTGAGCGACACAGTCTCTTTACAGTCTCTAGTTTTTATAGAAATTCTGTCCAAACACATATTTACATTTTGTCCCAAAATCACTTATCCCAAGTTTAGATGTTTTACAGGAGTTGGTGTTAAGAAAATAATATGGAAAATGATATCATATAAAATGTCATACTAGCAAAAAAATTGGCCTGATCACAGCATGGATGATGCTTTGGTTAAAGATTGTTCTTATGTTGTGCTCTTATACCACTGTCCAAGGTTATGGAGAGGATTGAAAATGAACAGATGTGCAATTAAAAATCAGCATAATTTATTATAACTTGAAACAAACATTTTCCAACACCAGCAGAAGTTTGTCATACAATAACTTAACAAAAATTTTGTATGCCTCTGCCATAGTGGGGCACTATTAAGTGTTACCCTTGTCTGTCTGTACGTACATCCCAAAATTTTTATTTTTTTCTCTAACTTTAGTTTGCCTCAACTAAATATTATGAAACTTATACACAATGCCCCTTTATAAATGGAAAAATTGCTGAATTTTTTTGTTTTCGTTCATTGACTTTAGTTTGCCTCAACCATATGTTAAGAAACTTATACACAATGCTTATTACCATAAAACACTGATCAATTTCAAATTTGGGTGGCGTCACTTTTACAGTTCTCTAGTTATGTCTATTTATAATGTTATATGCAAGCAGGGTCATCATCTGTGTCCCATGGACACATTCTCCATTTATTTTATTATGCAAGATGAAATAACATATTTATTCTTTTTTAGCAAATAACTGATTTTGTCAAAATAATATCAACCCTGTTTGCCAACTTCGGAAACATTCTATCAAGTACTCTAGTTCGTAAAGTTTGCCAACCTCAGAAACATTTTTACAACAACACCTGTTCCCCAAGTTTGCCAACTTCAGAATTATTCTTAACAAGTAATCCTACAAGCCATGTTTAGCAACTTTGGAAACATTTTTATTAGGATCCTTGTTCACCAACTTTGCCAACTTCAGAAACATTAAAAAAAGTACCCCTGTTTGTCAAATTACCAACTTAAGAAACATTCTAACAGATACCCCTGTGGCATTAAGGTTTATCCTTATACGTCCATCCATAGTACAACCCCAAATTGGTTTCCGTTCCCTCACTTTAGTTTTCCTGTTCCAAATGTAATGTAACTTATACACGTTTCAATTTGGGTGCGTCACTTTCACCATTCTTGAGTTATGTACCTTTATAAATGGAAAAATTGCTTTCAAACTTTGATGTCATTCTTTATTTATTTTTTTTACATTTTGTGCATAAGATTTTAAGAACTATGTATTTGTCAATAAGTGGAAACAAAATGTATGGTTGTTTGTTTGTTTTCTATATAACAAGGTGAAATGAGCCTTCTTTAAAAACATGGTAATAACTGCTTGTATTTATATGTTTGGTTGCCACAGGCACTTCTTGATTACTTTGTTGCTGATTTTTAACTCCTTTTCAACTGTAAGATCATAAATTTTGGTGTTAAAAAGTGACTGTCTATGTAATACGGTTTCTTATTTATTTCCCCTTACATGGCCAACATGTCTGCTACAGGGGCTTATAGATTCTTTGTTGATCTCAACAGTACAAGCTAAGGACAGGAGACCCACTTGTTTGTTCTAAAGGAGGAGGTACAATAAAGGCCATCATTTGGCCCATGAAATTGCAAAAATAGGAAAATTACATACATTTCAAAATTATGTTCATTTGATGAATGAACAGGTTAATATTATCTGGACATTTTTAGTAGTGCAGAAAGGTCATTTGTGATGTCATGAAGATGTTGAAATTGATATATATGACCTAAAATAACCCTTGTGCCCATAGTTTTTTTGGACAGAATAGATATGAGCAACAGCCCTACCCCAAAAGATATTTTTCACCCATTAACATCTGTGTAAAATCTTGTAGTAAAACAACTTTTTGGGTAAAGCTGTTGCTCCTTTCTATTAATTAGAAGCTCTAAAACTGAGGATATTTTGGCATTTCATGAAGCTTGAAGCTCTAATGAAAATATGTAAGTCAAAATTCCAACAAAAAAAATACTAATGCTTGACAGAATAATGTTTTATGAACATCTGAACAAAGTGATTTTGTAAATTTATGATACTTTTTGGTTTACAAAATTTAAGGGGACGAATAAGCAGCCTTATTATACCTTATCCTCTACTCATTAATAGATATAAATAGTAACATTATTTAATTATTACCCTTTAAAGCATGAATTTTAATTAATATATGTGAACATTGAATATTATTTTGTAGATGGTTGGTGTATGTACAACAGATATAGATTTGAACAAGTGTCGACATGTGTTCTGTAGTATGATTGGTCAGGACTCAGATTCTTGGGGACTATCTTACACTGGGCACTTACAACACAAGAAAAATAAACAATCATATTCATCCAAGTTTGGTCAGGGATCTATAGTGGGGGTACATTTAGATATGTGGCATGGAACATTGTCTTTCTACAAGAATAGAAAACCTTTAGGTATGTAGAATTATTGTTATTTTCTATTGTTGTTAATTCCTATGATGTTTCTTTTTGGAGAAAAACAACAGTACACAAAACACATATAAAGACTGAGCAGCATGAACCCCACCAAAAACCAGGGGCAATCTCAGGTGCTCCAAAAGGGTAATCAGATCCTGCTCCACATGTGGTGTTCATTGTGTTGCTCATGTAAGTACAAACCCCTTGATAAGTCTAGTTCGGTAGGTCACATTCACGGCAAAGAGGACAGGATTGTGGTTATTGTGGTTACGACAATTGAAACATATCCATCGTCATCTGTTAAACAGATATTCCATAACAGTCAACCAACTCCTGATGCTGTCCATAAAATTTTCAAAGGGATGATTTCATTTCACCACTTAGAACTCTTTGTTTAATAGCTTCATTTTAAGTAGCATCTCTCTATCAAGAAAATCTTGATAGGAAATGCAGTCTTAGTAATATCCTATTAGCTGGGAGAAATATACTCCATATCCAGGCGCTTCGGGAATGTGGCTACAAAGAAATGGGAAATTCAAAATTGGGAAGCTGAAATCATCTCTTTTATCGTAAAGTTTTGTTCTCAACTGACCCTTATTGTCAATTTCTAGATAGAAGTCAAGATATGAGGAAGGCTTAACTGTATCTGTTGTATCCTTTATTTCAAGTTAAATGTGATACTCAAAATAATGTGCATTGATCACAACATTCTATACATCCTATCCATGAAAATTTCCAGAAATTTATCAATGAAATATATGCTCAGATATTCAAGTTACAAAATTATGTTATAATTGTCAAGAAAGTTTCATAACTTTTGCAAGGTGCAGGAATCAAATATCTATTCTAAAAACATCAATGATGTTATTGTTTAAGTAATCTTTTAAATTGGAATTATCTTCCTTTGTCCATAATTGCAGTTGAATCAACAACCAATGCTTTATACAATGCAATGTTTAAATTTACTTCCCACGAATAAATTAAAGCAATCTTTACCCTTCAATGCTTACAAGCACTTCGATTACAGAAATAATTTCGGTCACTTCATAGATATTAGGTTTCTAAATCTCCATTTTGTACTAATTATCTCGCCTTGTCAGAGTCAAAAATTGAGACATAGGTATGCCGTTTCCGGCATCTGTGTCAACAATGTAATGGCAGGTCAATGATATTTGGTGTGCAGTTGTATTAGCATTGACACATCTCATTTCCATGGAGATTATTTGGCCGCTCCCCCTCAGTCAAGGTCTATTGACTTTGAAACTTTTGCTTAGTTTACATGTATTAGTTTGTGATTAGTTCAGTTAATCGGGAACTACTAGTGGTAGGTCAATAAATTTGGTATGTAGTTGTATTAGCATTGGTACATCCCATTTCCTTGGAGATTATTTGGCGCAGACCCCTCATTCATGGTCTATTGACATTGCAACTTTTGCTTAGTTTACATGTAAAATTGAAAATGGAAATGGGGAATGTGTCAAAGAGACAACAACTCGACCATAGAACAGACAACAGCAGAAGGTCACCAACAGGTCTTCAATGCAGCGAGAAATTCCCGCACCCGGAGGCGTCCTTCAGCTGGCCCCTAAACAAATATATATACTAGTTCAGTGATAATGAACGCCATACTAAACTCCAAATTGTACACAAGAAACTAAAATTAAAAATAATACAAGACTAACAAAGGCTAGAGGCTCCTGACTTGGGACAGGCGCAAAAATGCGGCGGGGTTAAACATGTTTATGAGATCTCAACCCTCCCCCTATACCTCTAGCCAATGTAGAAAAGTAAACGCATAACAATACGCACATACATGTATGCGTTTGTGATTAGGTCAGTTTATGGGGAACCACTAGTGGTAGGTCAATGATATTTGGTATGCAGTTATATTAGCATTGGCACATCTCATTTCCATGGAGATTGTTTAGCCCTGTTCCTTCAGTCATGGTTCATTGACTTTGAATATTTTGCATAACTTACATGTTTAAAAATTTGTAAGGGTTCTGTGGAACTCAGTGTCTCGCCTACTTTTACTGTTAATCGCAGGCTCAACAAAAATGAGATGAGGTTTAGTTTTTCTTCCAGTTAACATTACATTCAATCTGCAGTCAAAGTTTTTAAAACATTTATTAGATTCATAAACCATCCGATTTTCTTATTTGCACATATATATTCTACTTTTTTAGTTGCATCAATTTTTTTGAACAAAATTTTAGAATTGCATCTTCTATTTACATGCATTTTTATGGATGAATTAAGGGATTAATCATCAAGCAATGTAAAAATTATCTTCTTTATCATTTGTTCATTCGATAAATTTATGTTTCAACTCTTTTATAAATCTATAGATTTGATTACATACTGTATTCAATTTTTAAAAGCATAACTTAAATCTATTATGTGCATTCCCCTATCACACTGAAAACATAGACAACAAGCAAAAGTAGGTGAGACACTGGGTTCCGCGGAACCCTTACAAATTTTTATTTTGAAATGCATGGTTTTCTGATAAAATAAAACTGCCACTCCAGTATAATATGATAATCCTTGATGACCCTCCTAATTACCATGTTTTATGCTTCAGTGAGATATTAGCTAATGATCGTTAATCACTGTTTACATCAGTTATCAAGCTCAGAACAAATATTTTAAAGAAATTCTATTCCTCGACAATTAACTTCATTATTTAATAGCTTTTCAGCAAAGACAATGCCCAGTTCTGATTTGAAAATTAATGGGTTATATTCAAACACTTTTACAGATATAAAATTAAAGATACAATGATTTATGGCCATTTGATAAATAGAACAAATCTCCCAAATGGTTTGAAATTTCATGAAATTAATTCAGTGAAACCCTCAATACAAGTTTGTTATTGCACAAATCTAGTCCAAGTAATTGCAATAGTTTGATAAAAGCACCCCAACTTTCAAGTCATCATAAAATGACTGAAATGGTGTGAAAATATATCTGTATCCTTTAGTTAAAGGATAATGCTAGCTTCTTTTCTATCTTCCTAAGAAGCTCCTGTATGAAGTCAGCCTTATAAGAATAAAGGAACAAGTATGCAAGAAGAGGAGCACAGTTGGTTCCCATGGGAATGCCAATTATTTTTTGAAAAGACATCCTTCAAACATAACAAATCTGTTGTCAATCAAGAAATTAAGCATCTTGATAATGTCAGTTTCAGAGAATTCTTTATTTTAATCAGAGTGATTTTACAGTGATGTTGTTTACTGAGCCTTGAAATTTAAAGATACTGATTGATGATTGACTTATCCCTCCCTTACAGAAGAAACTTGTATATACGTTGACCATTTTTTTTAATGAAACATGGCAGGACCAATTCCAATTCTTTCCATTTGTCTTTTAGTTTGGAATGGGGAATACTTGTGTAAAGGGTAGAAAAGTCAAATGTTTAAATGCTATTGAAAAATGAAAGAGACTTAAGATTGTAGGTACTATAACAGATCTTTGGAATTTTTAAGTATCCATATCTGAATCATGACGCCCCTAGAGTAGGTAGTTTCACAATAATTTTTGAAGCCAGGCTTTTGCTGGTAAAATTGATCTTAATGGAAAAATTGCTGAATTTTTGTTTCTGTTCTCTAACTTTAGTTTGCCTCAGCCAAATGTTATGAAACTTATACACAATGCTTATTACCACAAAACTCAGATCAAGTTCGAATTTGAGTGGAGTCACTTTTAATGTTCTTAAGTTATGTCCCTTTTATAACGCTATAAGTAAGGGGGGCATCATCTGTGTCCCATGGACACATTCTCCATTTATTTAATTCTAATTTGTATCAACAACCTCACAGCCTTAACCCATTCGGAAAGAGTACCTACGTCATCTTTTTTGCATTGAGCCCATTGCCTGGCTTAATCCTCGACTGAAACCATCAGTATTTTGAAGTTGTGTTTCCAATCGATGGATTTAGGTTCATGATATTTAGGGCCTTTGGATAACACATTTGACAGATGTCATAAGTAAATAATGTGGCCAGCGAGATTATATATGAATGGGGAACTAGCACATGTGCAATCAGGAGGTTCAGACTTGATGTTGTCAATATTGAGATCTTGCAATTCATGTTTGTAATCGAAAATTTTAGTTGCAATTGGTTTGGTATAGGCATTAGAGATGATAGGTACAGACTGGGAGATATTTTCGTGTGAACTGATTTATGATGAAGGATATCGTCCAATTTGACGGGATCAAGATTTTTGTTGACAAAAAAAAGTTTTAGAAAGGATCTTTTCTCCTTTTCATCTTTCCCAATGCGAATTGGTGTGAAAAGTCTGTGACTGGCAATATCAGAGATGATAGCTGTAAGTTTGTATTGGTTTGAATGGGGGTTTGTAACAGATGTTTCCAAACATAATTTGTGCAGAGAATGAAGTTTTGAAAGGGGTAGTGAATAAAGCTTCGTCTGAATGTTATGAATGATCAGACTGATTAAAATGCTGGAAAACAATGTCATTGGCATCATAGTTAATTATCTGATCTATGGATCATGCACATACATTTATTAAATCTTCCTTTTGTTTCACCAAAATATACCATTCTGTAAAGGTTACACTCTAATCCGCAGACGAAATTTGTTGATTTACAATTCAGATCAATGTAGCCTCTGGTGTAGTTAAATTGCAAGTAAATTGAGCATCTGTTATTAAAAATTTACAGGTTTTTCAGTTTTTGGTTTTACATTAAGAAATGAGAGAGTAATTATCAAGTCCAAAATGTCTATTAGAAGAACTATACATGGCCAGGTGAGAAGATTATTGCTATTGTCGTTACTATGATGATCTGAATGTGTCTTATTCAAGTTATTTGTTATATATGGTTATAAGGGGACACCTGTCATTTCAGACGACACTGTGTCTGTGGGGACATCTGTTTCAGACCTTTTTATACTGTGTGACTGTTAGAGCCAGTATTTTGTTAGATCTTCATACAAGTTACACATGTTATTTCTCTCATTTATTCATTAGATTATTTGGATTACTTTTTAGGTATTGCCTACACAGGGTTGCAAGGAAAAATTCTGTATCCAGTGGTTTCATCAACAGCAGCCAGAAGTGGAATGAAAATTATAAGATGTTGTTCATTTCCAACTTCATTGCAATTTATGTGTTGTCAAGTTTTGAGGAAAGTAATTCCGTCTCATTTAGATGTTTTAACTGCTGTAGAATTACCACCTGGACTTAAAGACTTCTTGAAGAATAATGTTCAATGGTTGTTACAACCATTCCCATCATCAGCAGCAGGGCCATTGAAATCCAGTAAACGGACTCATTCTGAAGAGGATGCAGATGGAGCTGGTCCTAGTAAAAGAATTAAATATAAATTGTTGAAAGAAGACAAATGATATTAAGTAGTTCTAGTAAAAGTTGTTATTTTTAAATATTTTAGACCCCTTTTGTCTTTCTATGGGGTAAACTTCAAAGCTTTTTTATTTAAGTTTTGATAGTTGTCAGTTTTCTTTTATAGTAGAAGAGGTTTTTATTTCCATTTCATTATAGACAATAAGTGTATGGTTATTCAACATGGTTGAATGCCCATCTGACTTCTTTCCATAAATTCAATTTTTCACTCAATGTATAATATTTGTTACTGTTATCTAGATCAAATGTTGCAAGTACTAGTTGTCCAAATTCTGATTGATGAAATCATGTTGTAAGTAAATAAGGGACCAAAAGACACAGACTATTGATATGATTTCTTGTTAACATTGTCCCATGTATACAAACTTTGGTCAAATATTATAGTAATAAATGTTATTATGAATGAGTTTATTTACAGTTTTTTTTTGGCTTTCTCACTCATTAACTGAATGAATTCTAAAGAAGAATACACATTAATGAATCCCTTAGAAATAACTTTTGTTTCTGATGATTCCAATAAACATGCTTTAAAGATTTCACATCAAAATAAATGGCTCCTTACAGAACTTTTTTGTTTGAATTTAGAATTCATACTCCCAACATAAATAATGGAATTTATTGATGAGTAATTTTTAGTTTTTATGACTGACATTTAAGATTAAAGCTTTCATATATACACCACTGATATTAAAACTTAGTATATGAACTGCCTAACCCTGTAGCAGAACATGGCAAAACAAATCATAATTCATGGCCATATTTAAAGGGCAAATTCATACCATTAATCATAAGTTTATGAATATAACTTATTGTTGTAATTTATTGTGAGACACATGGTGATGACTTTTGGGAGAAATTACTGTAAACTTGGAAATTTCCGCCCTATGGATTACTTTGCTTATTTTGAAAAATATTGATGTAAAGTCTTTAAGGTACCAATGTCACTCCCACAAGAAATGTTTATGCAGTGAAATTACAGATGTATCTAAGATTGCAGTGGTAAGATTGAACACAACGATATAAATTCTGATGCAATATTTCACTTCCATTTAACTTGATCTTTAGTTGCTACAGCCCTACCATATTCAGAATTTTTTTCCTTAATGTAAATTTAACCAAAATTGTGAGGTAGATTGTGGTATGAGTATTATGTTGTATCATTTTTGTCTCGCCTGCGAGGAAAGTAGCAGTATACGAGACATAGGTATTACTATCTGGTGGCAACGGTGGCGTAAACTATTTGTATAAAGCCTTATAGTTCAGAAGGTAGAAGACCTGGATGCTTCATACCTTGTATGCAGATATCTTATGTTATGAAGTTTCCGCCTGTCATATGTCCATTGTCCTTGACCTCATTTTCATGGTTCAGCGACTGCTTGAAAAAAAAAACCAGTTTTTTTGCCATGTGATTATCTCACTTATTATGAGTAGTAGGATAATTATATTTGGTATATGGGTTCCTTGCAACGTCTTAATGTCCGTCAGTCAGGGATCAGTGATCAAGGTTAAAGTTACATGACTAGGTCCGTTTCTCAGATACTATAAGCAGTAGGTAAACTGTATGTAGTGTATGGAATGATTGGAAGGGGTACATGTCAGTCTGGCAGGTTTCATCTGACCTTGACCTCATTTTCATGGTTCATTGGTCAATGTTAAGTTTTTGTGTTTTGGTCTGTTTTTCAAGTACTAGAAGCAATAGGTCAGCTATATTTAATGTATGGAATGAATGTAAGGTGTGCATGTCGGGCTAGCTGGTATAATCTGACCTTGACCTCATTTTCATGGTTCATTGGTAAATGTTAGTTTTTTGTGTTTTGGTTGGTTTTCCAAATACTAATAGCAATAGGTCAGCTATGTTTGGTGTATGGAACAATTGTAAGGTGTACATGTCTGTCTGGCAGGTATTATCTGACCTTGACCTCATTTTCATGGTTCATTGGTCAATGATAAGTTTTCGTAAATTTGGCAATTTATCAGATACTATAAGCAACAGGTCAACTATATTTGGTGTATGGAATGATTGTAAGGTGTTCATGTCTGTCTGGTCTTGTTCATTTGACCATGACCTCATTTTCATAGAACTTTGATAATGTTAAGTTTATGTGATATTTAAAACCTTCATGTTACAGACTTTCAACAAAAATTCGATGATAAGTAAAACAGGCGAGACATTTCAGCATGTGCACTCTTGTTGATGCTAGAATAGCTTTGATGAAGTCATGCATTTAGGTTAATTTCTCAGAAACACATCGTCATAGTTGAATATTTCACAAAAAATCTGTTTATGTAGTATAAAACAGTTAACTAATAATTCAGTCCAAATGTCCCACATTTTATGTTTGACAGTTTGAGTAACTGTAGTAAAGTTTATGGTAGCTGCGTTACCCTTAATCCAAAACAAAAATTTCTTAAATAACAACCAGTAAAAATGTGCTCTGTACATATATTTTATCCACTACAATTGCTACAATTTTTTTTGCAAACATGTGAATTTCATTTTCATGGAACAACTGACAACAAGACAGAATTAAGCAAAGTCATGTCACAAGTGCAAGCTGTTGATTAATAAATTTGAAAGTTTTTATGCTTTTACAAGGTTATAGATATAATTCCAAAACTTAAATGCAGCTACTGTAATAAATAGGAGTGAGTAAGTTTGAATATTTACTTTTCATCAAAATAACTTTTTGAAGTATTTAGTCTGGATTCCAGAAATTCAAAGAAGAAAATTTCCTGCTTATTAGTCCCCTACCAACGAAGTCGAAGGGGACTTTAGGTTTGCACTCCGTCCATCTGTCAGTTTGTCTGTCTGGCAAATCAGTTTTCCACACTTTTTTTCTTCATGCTTGAAGATATTGATTTGATATTTGGTATATTGTTTTATCATGACAAGTTACAAATCAAGCTAGAATTTTGTTCTGGTCTGATAATTTTGTGCAGAGTTATGGTCATTGGACTTAGAAAATTCACTTAAATAATCAGTTTTCCACACTTTTTTTCGTCATGTTTGAAGATATTGACTTGATATTTGTTATATAGTTTACATTATGACAAGTTAGATCAAGTTAGCATTTTGTTCCAGTACAATGAATATTTAACCGGTAGGGGACTATGTATTGCCATGCAATACTCTGAGAATGCTTGTTGTTATAGAACTCAAACAAATGAAAAACTACATGGAGAGGGAGGTTAATACTAAAACAAATGTTTGTTCAATCCTGCTGCATGTGTATATTCCCATTCATTTGCCAATTTCCAATTTGATTCTGTTATTATAGGGGTAAATTCAGTAAAAAAATCTCCCACAGACTTCAATGAAAACCTATTACTGGAATTAAATTTATACCTGGGTTATCTGTAGAAATCAGAAGCTTTCATATATCATTCATCAAAATACAAATGCAGCCTGATCTTTTGCAACCATTAAAACATAGGGTCATGGCATTTTTGGGCTATTTATATGGCCTTAAATACTGTAGATTCACACTCAATTCCTACACTGACCCTATTACTTTTCAACCCTGTAGTAAAAAAAGTAAGTGCAGTCAACATTTATTTTTTATTTTTTTAAACCCCAAATTTGATCCATCTATCAAAAAATATGTATTACAAACATGAGTGGAGCATAGGACTTCAGTGTTATACAGAAAGCTGTCCCCCAAATGGGGGTCCTTAATGATGTGTATTTATTTACTGAATTTACCCCTATTACACACTTTTAACACACATTGCTTATCTTAGTCAATAATAGACTGGTTCCACACTGGACAAAATTGGCCTCTGCCCACACAAAGCACGATAAGTTAAAAGTGATATATCAGCATTTTAACCAATTTTTAGTAAAAAAATAACTACCCGTTCTGGTATCAAAAGTTTTTAGCTTAACAAAAACTGAAAAGGTTTGAAAAACTTAAAGGTTACCCACATAACACACAGACAAATTTACTCTTTCCATTTGCTCTCCATTGTCAATCAAAAAAAAAATGGATCTTTAATTACAGGGTCAATCAGGGGAATTGGCAAATAGACTATGAGAATTATTTATTAATGAGTTGATTAGTGTACTTTAATTACACAATTACAAGTTGCTTGTTTTATTACATTAATTGATTTTTTTTTAAGAAAATATAATATGTGAAAACAGGTTTAATTAGTTATCTATTGATGATCATGAACTTTCAGTAATTCTAATATGACAACCTATATACTGACAACCAGTATATCTACTTTTAATGCAAACGCATGGATACTCAAAATTAGCTTTTCTGTGTTGTTACTACCTTATTTATACGACCAGGGATAAAATAATTGAATATAAATTCCCAACCCATGGTTTAATAAATGAAAACAAATCTATGGCTGCCATGAATTATTTCTTAAATATGCATTGCTCCTCTGTTTGTTAGTGGAGAGAGATAACTGATTTATATTTACAATGTAAAATTAACTAATTTTGTAATACCAAGGAAAGCACATTAATATTTTTTTAATTTATGGAATGAATTGCAAAAACAAATTGCAGAAAGACATTTAACAACACATTCAGTGACCACGGGAGGTAATTCAATGGGATATTCAATGTCAAGTTTTGCGTTAGTAAATTAAACCATAGTTTTTATACGACCGCAAAAAAATTTTGTGGTCGTATATTGGTATGACGTTGGCGTCGTCCGGCGTCGTTTCCAGACAATAACTGTGGAACGGTGTATGGATCTCTCTGAAATTATACTACAAGTTTCCATACCACAAAGGGATGGTTAGGATTTGCTTTGGGGGGTTATGGCTCAAACCGTTTAGGAATTAGGGGCAAAAAAGGGGGAAAAACAAGGTTGTCCTGGTTAATGGACAAATACTTTAGTACAAAACATAATTTAAAGCAGTGTAAGGGAGATAAATCAAATACATCATTGAAATTATCTCCCTTACACTGCTTTTAAATTATGTATAAAGTAATGGTTAATGAACAATAAAGATAATTTAAAACAGTGTAAGGGAGGTAATCCAAATACAACGTTTTGGTTACTTCCCTTACACTGCTTTTAAATTATGTTTAAAGAAATGCATATTTATAAAGGAAGACCAGTAAAAATATCTGCAAATGTTGCATCTTTTTTTTTACAAAAAAATCCATATGAAAGATTTGACACTATATTTTTAATTCTATTATAAAATAGATTAAGTTAGCACTATGGTAAATTTAAATGGGTAATTATGGTTGCCAACTCCATTGGAAATTTGAATTGAGATTATGACCATATCTTGAGGGAAAGAATTTTTTTGGGGAAAAAAAGGGGGGGGGGATAAAAAGAAATTGTGGGGGGTCAATTTTTTCTCATTTCAGATTTCAGAAATTAAAAAGAATTATTCTTCAAATATTATTTTTTTTTTCAAATTTCAAATATTGAAAAATTTCAAGAAGTAATCTTTAATTGCACAGTATGGCGCATTAGATTTGTAAAATCTTTGATCACATTTATATATTTGTTATGCCAAATCTAACAGTGTATTTAGATTTTTAATTTTGGGTCCAGTTTTCAAATTAGTCTACATTAAGGTCCTAAGGGTCCAAAATTAAACTTTGTTTGATTTTAGCAAAAATTGAATATATGAGGTTCTTTGATATGCTGAATCTAAACATGTATTTAGATTTTTTATTTTTGGCCCAGTTTTCAAGTTGGTCCAAATTGGGGTCCAAAATTAAACTTTGTTTGATTTCAACAAAAATTGAATATATGGGGTTCTTTGATATGCTGAATCTAACCATGTATTTAGATTTTTTATTTGTGGACCCCGTTATCAAATTGGGTCATATTGAGGTCAAAAGGGTCCAAAATTAAACTTTGTTTGATTTCATCTAAAATTGAATTATTGGGGTTCTTTGATATTCCAAATCTAACCATGTATTTAGATTTTTAATTTTGGGTCCTGTTTTTTAAATTGGTCTACATTAAGGTCCAAAGGGTCCAAAATTAAACTTAGTTTGATTTTAACAAAAATTGAATTCTTGGGGTTCTTTGATATGCTGAATCTAAACATGTGTTTAGATTTTTGATTATGGGCCCAGTTTTCAAGTTGGTCCAAGATAGGGTCCAGTATTTAAACTTTGTTTGATTTCAACAAAAATTGAATATATGGGGTTCTTTGATATGCTGAATCTAAACATGTATTTAGATTTTTGATTATGGGCCCAGTTTTCAAGTTGGTCCAAATTGGGGTCCAAAATTAAACTTTGTTTGATTTCAACAAAAATTGAATATATGAGGTTCTTTGATATGCTGAATCTAACCATGTATTTAGATTTTTTATTTGTGGGCCCCGCTATCAAATTGGTTCATATTGAGGTCAAAAGGGTCCAAAATTAAACTTTGTTTGATTTCATCAAAAATTGAATTATTGGGGTTCTTTGATATGCCAAATCTAACCGTGTTTTTAGATTTTTAATTTGGGTCCCGTTTTTTTAATTGGTCTTCATTGAGGTCCAAAGGGTCCAAAATTAAACTTAGTTTGATTTTAACAAAAATTGAATTCTTGGGGTTCTTTGATATGCTGAATCTAAACATGTGTTAAGATTTTTGATTATGGGCCCAGTTTTCAAGTTGGTCCAAGTTGGGGTCCAAAATTAAACTTTTTTTGATTTCAACAAAAATTGAATATATGGCGTTCTTTGATATGCTGAATCTAACCATAATTTAGATTTTTTATTTGTGGGCCCCGCTATCAAATTGGTTCATATTGAGGTCAAAAGGGTCCAAAATTAAACTTTGTTTGATTTCATCAAAAATTGAATTATTGGGGTTCTTTGATATTCCAAATCTAACCGTGTATTTAGATTTTTAATTTTAAGTCCCGTTTTTTAAATTGGTCTACATTAAGGTCCAAAGGGTCCAAAATTAAACTAAGTTTGATTTTAGCAAAAATTGAATTCTTGGGGTTCTTTGATATGCTGAATCTAAACATGTGTTTAGATTTTTGATTATGGGCCCAGTTTTCAAGTTTGTCCAAGTTGGGGTCCAAAATTAAACTTTGTTTGATTTCAACAAAAATTGAAAATATGGGGTTCTTTGATATGCTGAATCTAACCATGTATTTTGATTTTGGACATTGGACCATAATAGGTAAATTAAAAAAATTCAAGTTCATAGACCACATTCTTTCTGTGTCAGAAACCTATGCTGTGTCAAATATTTAATAACAATCCAAATTCAGAGCTGTATCAAGCTTGAATGTTGTGTCCATACTTGCCCCATTTGTTCAGGGTTCGACCTCTGCGGTCGTATCAAGCTGCGCCCCAGCGAAGCATTTTATTAAAAATTTTAATTCATGTTAAGAGTCCTTTTAGTGACACATAGTACGTTAAAGCTTATTAGTAGTGTACCTTTTTTTAATTTGGCCACATAGGGCAAGAGAGCTTTTCTCATGACATGGCATCCGTGTTCCTTATCCCACATCGTCCATTAACTTTTACAAAAATCTTCTCTGAAACTTCTTGATAAAATTTAGCCACAATCCTTATTTGGGTATCCTGTTTTAAAAATGTGTCCAATGACCCCATCTGCCAACCAATGTGGACAACATGACTAAAAACAAAAGATAGGGGTCAAATTCAAGTATTGTCTATTATCTTTAAAACTGCTATAAATAGAGAAAATCCAAGAGTGGCAGAAATGTTCAAAATATTGAGTTCTAATTCTACCTATTGTCCATTTACATCAAACTGTTGGAAGACTTCTTGTAGAAGTTATTGCCCTTATACAACAATTTTTACCAATTTTTTTCCATTTTTGCCTTTTACCTTAAAAACTATAATAGATACAGAGAAACTTGAAATAACAAATAAGTCAGCAAGAAGATCTACAAATAAGTCAATAAAAACTAAAGAAGATAGAGAGAAACTGTAAACAGAAAAAATTACCAGCAATACAAGATCAACGAAAAAACGAAATATATTGTCATGAATTCTGTTCTACTCCACAATGTTGGAGAGTGTGCATTCTTGACGATGTACATAGACCTAGGTGAGCAACACAGACTGTTTAGAGCTTCTAGTTTGCTGTTATTTTGAAAACTATGAGAGCTGGGTTAAAAACATCTATTTACTCTGATAATTTTGACAACTGCTGTTGGAGTTATTAACCCAGAAATGTTATTTTTTTTTTTGCATTTTTGGCTGGTACTAGTATTTAGAAACCTACATGAACTGAACTGGTTAAACATGAAAATTGCAAAAATGTTCAGCAACAAACAGTTACTATAGTATATGCATATTAAAGTTCTAATAAGCAAACTGGTGATTTTTTTTCACCAGGTACAATACAGGCATAGGTGTGCATCTTGTTTTTCTCATCACTTGGGGTCCGCTGTTGGTCATCTGTTTACTTTTACAAAAATCTCCTTTGAAACTACTAGGCAAAATTTAACCAAACTTTGCCACAATCTTCATTGGGGTTTCTAGTTAATAAAAATGTGTCCGATGACCACACCTGCCAACCAAGATGGCTAACATGGCTAAAAATATAACATAGGGATAAAAGACAGGTTTTGTCTATTATTTTGAAAACTGTTATAAATAGAGAAAATCTGACAGGGGGGATGTTTAGAATGTTGAGCTCTACCAATTGTCTATATACGTCAAAAATGTCAGACGACTTCTTATAGGAGTTATTGCCCTTAAATGACAAATTTTACCATTTTTTTTTTCATTTTTGCCTTTTATCTGGAAAACTATAATAAACAAAGAGAAACTTTAAACTGCTAAAAATTATGATAGATGGATAGAAACTTAAATAAGCAAAAATGATCAGCAAGGCAAGATCTACTAACAAGTCAAATTTTGCCAATATAATAAGCAGACTGCCACTCTGTTAAGGAGTGATTGCCCTTAAATGAGGATTTGTTTTTACCCTCTTTTGTGTTTTGAGCAAAAACTATAAAGAGATAGAGAGAAACTAAACAGACTAAATGATCAGCAATACAAGATCAACAAAACAGAGATTTTTGTCTTGAATTCTATTTTCGTCTACAATGTTGGAGATTGTCCTTTGTTGAATATGCACATAGACCAAGTTGAGCGACACAGGCTCTTAAGAGCCTTTAGTTTACTTCAGTGCAGCACCTTGTTTGAAAAGCTTTTTCAAATATTATTTTTTGGTTCAACTACAATGCATTTGAATTTTTAGTTACTTTAATATACTCTACTGTAAACTTTATTTTATATTGCAAATAATTGTACATTATATTGTCTGTTTTATTTTTTAGTATTTCAAAAGTTTAATAATAAGATCTTAACTGTTAAAAATAGAATAGTTTGTTATTAATACAAATGTGCATTCATATATATTATGAAAAATAATTTCAAAGCTACAGTATCTGTTTATTAAATATACGTTTTATTTGTATGTTTCTTATTTCTGTATCCTCCCCTAAATGAGGATTTTATGTGTGGGTATGTGGGATATATTTACAAAATAACATAAACTAGACAAAGTGATGCCCCCGCACTCCACTCTGAAGTAACTTTCATAACAAAGTCAATGTAGAACTTTCTTTGAGATTTTATTGTGTCTGGGAGACACAAATGATGCCCCCGCAGATGCAAAGTGTTATTTTAAAATAAGTTTAACTATCTCCCAAAAGTGCAAATATTAATAAAAATCAAAACCCTGACCACATGCACACCTTCAATATATGTACAAACAGCCAGCAAAGTGAATTCTTCCTAGCATTCAAACTTTAGGAGGAGTTATCTGGAATAACTATATACCCATAATAGGACGGACGGACAGGGGTAAAACAATATGCCCCCTAACTTTCAGTTAGCAATATCCTTTAACTTTACGTTCCGCTATATAGATGATGTTCTCTCACTAAATAATACAAAATTTGGTGACTATGTTGAACGAATCTATCCTATCAAACTAGAGATAAAGGATACTACAGATACAGTTAAGTCTGCCTCATATCTTGACTTACATCTAGAAATTGATAATGAGGGTCGGTTGAAAAAAAACTTTACCTCAAAAGAGATGATTTCAACTTCCCAATTGTGAACTTTCTATTTCTATGTAGCAACATTCCAGCAGCGCCTGCATACGGAGAATATATCTCAAAATTGATACGATATTCCCGTGTTTGTATTTCCTATCATGATTTCCTTGATAGAGGATTGCTGCTCACAAGGAAGCTATTAAACCAAGAGTTCCAAATGGTGAAGTTGAAATCATCCCTTCGTAAATTTTATAGACGCCATCACGAGTTGGTTGACCGTTATGGAATAACCATTTCACAGATGATATTGGATATGTTCCTTATGTCGTAACTACAATACCCTTCCCTTTTCACGAATGTGACCTACCGAATTAGACTATTTACCGGATTTGTAATAACATAAGCAACACGACGGGTGCCACATGTGGAGCAGGATCTGCTTACCCTTCCAGGGCACCTGAGATCATCCCCAGTTTTTGGGGTTTGTGTTGCTTAGTCTTTAGTTTTCTATATTGTGTCATCTGTACTATTATTAGTCTGTTTGTCTTTTTATTTTTGGCCATGGCGTTGTCAGTTTGTTTTCGATCTGTGAGTTTGACTGTCCCTCTGGTATCTTTCGTCCCTCTTTCAGTTGTGGGGGCATAAACATTTTCACAATGAATGCAAAATAATATTTTGGTGTGAACAAAATGTTCCTGCCTATATGCATAAAACATCAAGAATAATACCCTTTTACATGAAAAACATGAAATGAAATGACTCACAGAAAAAATTCATATCTTATAAAGAATGTTGGCTCAAGTCAGGTAAGAAAAATCATAGTTGATTAACTTATACTTAAAGGCATATAAAACCATTTTCTTGAAATTATTAAGGAAATAATTGAACCAATGCATGTACTTAACTAAGTCCTCTATGCACGATTTTTAAGCTCATCTGGCACAATGGGCCAGTGATCTTTTCCCATCACTTGGGCATCAGTCGTTGTCTTCCATTAACTTTTACAAAAAGCTTTTCCTCTGAAACTACAGGGCAAAATTTAACCAAATTGGACACAATCATCATAGGAGTATCTAGTTTTGAAAATGTGTCCGATGACCTAGTCCGCCCACCAATAAGGCTGACATGGCTAGAAATAGGAGATTAGGGTAAATGCAAGTTGTGTCTAATATTTTGAAAACAGCTACAAAGAGAGAAAATCTGAAAGAGGTAGAAATGTTCAGAATGTTGAGCTCTACCTATTGTCCGATTATGTCAAAACTCTTGGTTGACTTTTTGTAGGAGTTTTTGCCCTAAATGTATATGTTAAATTATATATTTTTTTTTTCATTACTTGTCGTCCGTTGTCCGTTATGTTTTACAAATATCTTCTACTCTTAAACTACAGGGCAAAATTTGACCAAACTTGGTCACAATCATACCATAATTGAATATCTTATTTTAAAAATGTGTCCAATGGCTCTTCTTGCCAACCAACATGGCCACAATGGCATAAAATAGAACATAGGGGTAAAATGCAAGTTTTATCTATTATCTTGAAAACTGCTATAGATAGAGGAAATCTGACAGAACAAAAATGTTAAGAATGTTGAGATCAACCTATTGTCTATTTACATCAAAAAACTATCGGACGACTTCTTATAGGTGTTGTTGCCCCTAGGTGAAGATTTTTACCAATTTTTCACAGTTTTTGCCTAATATCTGAAAAAAACTATAGTAGATAGAGGGAAACTTTCAATAGCAAAAATGATGGGGAAAACAAGATCTACAATTAAGTCAACAGAGCCGAAATCGTCTGACGATCCTTATCAGAGTTTTTACCCTTTAATGATGATTTTTACCAATTTGTGCATTTTTATGTCCCACTTAGGACCATTATGTTTTTCGCTCTGTGTGTCCGTTCGTTCGTTCGTCCGTCCGTTCGTCCGTCTGTCCCGCTTCATGTTAAAGTTTTTGGTCAAGGTAGTTTTTGGTGAAGTTGAAGTCCAATCAACTTGAAACTTTGTACACATGTTCCCTATGATATGATCTTTCTAATTTAATGCCAAATTAGAATTTTGACCCCAATTTCACTGTCCACTGAACATAGAAAATGATAGTGCGAGTGGGGCATCCGTGTACAATGGACACATTCTTGTTGCCTTGTATTTTAAAAATTCTGATAGATAAATAGAAACTTAAATAAGCAAAAATGATCAGCAACATAATTTCTACATAAAAGTCAAATTGCCGAAATTCTCAGTGGACTCCTAAATGGAGTTATTGCTCTTTAATTATGATTTTTACCCATTTTTAGCTTACCTGGCCGAACGGCCAAGTGAGTTTTTCTCATCACTTGTCGTCCGTAGTCCGTCGTCGTTGTCGTTAACTTTTACTAAAAACTTCTCTTAATCTACTGTGCCAAAATCTAACCAAACTTGGCTACAATCATTATTAGGATATCTAGTTTAAAAAATGTGACTGATGACCCTGCCTGTCTATCAAGATGCCCGACATGGCTAAAAATAAAACATAGGAGTAAAATGCAAGTTTTGCCTATAATTTCGAAAATAGCTATAAATAGAGAAAATCTGACAGGGCAAAAATGTTCAGAATGTTGAGCTCTACTTGTTGTGTCATTAGGTCAAAACTGTCGGACAATTCCTTATAGGAGTTATTGCCCTAAGTTGAAAAATTTTACCATTTTTTTTGAAATTTTGCCTATTATCTCGAAAATTATAGAAGATAGACAGAAACTTTTATATGCAAAAATGATCAGCAAGACGAGATCTACAAATAAGTCAACTTTACTCAAATTGTCAGACGACTTCTTATCAGAGTTATTGCCCTTTAATGACAATATTTACCAATTTTTTGCATTATTGGCTTATATCTTAAAAACTATAATAGACAGATAAAATCTAAAAAAGCAAAAATGATCAGCACAACAGGATCTACAAATAAGTCAAATAGCCTTATGATATTTACCAATTTATGTGTTTTTGCCTATCATAAAGAGATATAAAGATGATGAGCAAGATAAGATCTATAAGTAACTCTTATTTTGCCCAAATCATTAATAGACACTTTATCAAAGTGATTGCCCTTAAATGACAATTTTGTTTACCCTTTTTGTGTTTTGGGCAAAATCTGAAAAAGATGGAGAGAAACTGTAAACAAGAAAAAAATTAATCAGCAATACAAGATATCAAAAAAGATATTTTTGTCATTCTATTCTAGTCCACAATGTTGGAGAGTGTCCATTGTTAAAGATGCACATTGACCTAGGTGAACGACACAGACTTTTTAGAGCTTCTAGTTGTCTATTATTTTATCATAATAGATAGAGAGAAACTTAAACATCGAAAATTATCAAAAAGACAAGATCTACAAATAAGTCACCATTGCCGAAATTGTCAGTTGACTCCTTATTAGAGTAATTGCCCTTAATGACAATTTTTACTAACTTTTTGCGTTTTTGTCTCATATCTGAAAAAACTATAGATAGAAAGACACTTTAAATAGCAAAAAATGATCAGCTAGACTAGCGCTACAAATAAGTCAACATGGCTGAAATCGTCAGTCGACTCATTTTTCGAGTTCTTGGTCTTCAATGACATTTTTTACCAATTTTTATTTTTTTATGTGGGTACAATGGTGTGACAGCATCGTCATCAGAAGACATTAAGATACCATACAATTACTTGAGTATAAGTGTAGAGATCTCTATGTAATTGTACCACAAGGTTCCATACCATAAAAGGAAGGTCCGGATAGATTTTAGAGGGTTATTGTCCTAACTGATTAGGAATAAGGGGCCAAAAACAAGCATTTTTCTTATTTCAGGACAATAACTTATATATATAAGTCTATGGATCTCTATGGATTTTAGGGGTTATGGCCTTAACCATTTAGGAAAATGGGGCCAAAAGCAATACTTTTCTAATACTTTGTATAAATTGCTTATTTCTTGACCAATTTCAATGGGGTTTAATTCAAAGTCTCGAATTCTCGGGGTTCTTTAATATGCTGAATCTAACCGTGTATAAAGATTTTGGATTTAGGGCCCAGTTTTTAAATTGGTCCACATTGAGGTCCAAAGTGTCCAAAATTAAACTTTGTTCGATTTCATCAAAAATTGGAAGTCGGCACCCTCTTCTTTTTTGGGCGATCAATGCTATTGAATGGGGACATAAGGGTTGAAACCCCACCCTCCTCCTTTATCCTGGGTTGGAAACCCCCTTTTGAAAATGGCTGGATCTGCCCCTGCTATGATGTGTCAAATATTTAATCACAATTCAAATTCAGAGCTGTATCAAGCTTGAATGTTGTGTCCACACTTGCCCCAACTGTTCAGGGTTCGACCTCTGTGGTCAGGGGCGGATTCAGGCGGGGGCGTGGCGGGCGTGCATCCCCCCAAAAAAAAAATA